ATTTACCTCTATGTATTATAGTCGAGGCCTTTGAAATGATCAGTCAGTTGAACCTGTAAGATGTTAAGTAACTGAGGAGATGAAATGCAACAGTGAACCATTTCACCAACAGCTCTGTGCTCTTATATAATAGAGAAGATCAATTTAATCAAAGAGGGCAACTTCCAAAATAAAAGCTTATCATTGGCATTCTTTGGGGCCAGTTGAAAACAGGCTACTGCATTTGAAGAAGGCAAAGGTTCTAAGGCCGTGATGGCGAACCTATGGCACGCATACCGGAAGTGGTACACAGAGCCATCTCTCTGGGAACGTGAGCCATCGCTTGTTGCTTTTCTGAGTTCTGGTGTGCCAGCCAGCTGGTCTTCATGTGCGCGGGAGTGCTGGAAACCAGAAGAGCAGCTGCCGGTGCGCATGCACACGGGTTTCCAGCACGCGCATTTTCACTGGCCACCTGATCTTCCCGTTTCTGCTGTGCATGCGTGCACGAAGATCAGCTGGCCGGTGTGCATGAATGCGCCAGAAACTGGAAGATCATCTTCCCAGCATGCGTATGTGCACCGGGTGGCTGCTCTCAATGCCGAAAAGGTTCACCAACACTGGCCTAAGAGATTGGGAGGGTGGGGAACAAATAGAGAGAATGACATCCCTTAGGTTGGAGAATACACCTATACCTACTAATATTTTTCCAAAAAGCTTCTACCGTTGGAACAGATTCAGATTATTTAGATCAGCATGAATTCAGTAGATTAACTGACTCCTATAAACATAGGTATGAAAAGTGTAGGGTGTTGATTATATTTTAATGATCTTATTACAGTTTTATGAGTTAGAAGAAAATGGTTTGTTATTAATTTAAGACGTTTTGCCTAGCATTTTTGTGAAATTGGAAAGCCTTTGAAGTGGCAATATGGGCAGAAGCTACACCTCTTCAGCTCCTTATTGCAAATTTCCATTTCTGCTTCCTTTTCACAAAGCATACACTGCTTTGTTAGCTAAATTCCCAAGCAAATCTTCTGATTTTTTGATGGTTAACCAAGGAAAGTAAGACCTGTAGATCTGTAGAAATACAGATTGTATTTCAGCCCATTAAAAAGAAAGAAAGAAACGATCAGTTTCTTTGTCTGTATCCCTATATGGGCCTAACTATAGCACAAGTGTAGTTTGGCAACATCTTTTTTCTGATGTGTTCCCTGATATCGCGCTCATCTAATCCACAGCTGTTCAGTGAGAAAGGCTTAAGTCAGCCTTAGGTATACCAGGATTAAAATAGTGTTTTCTCCTTAACTCTAACTCCACCAAGGGCAGTCTCAAGATGTTTGAAATCTCTTAAGCTTTAATATATTTTATCTAAGAAGGATGTCAGGTGATTGGCAATGACTCAAACGAGAGGTCACAGACTGAGGGGAAGGATTGGCAATGAGAATAGAAAAAAAAACTGTTAGTTATTCTTTTCTGCCTACTTAGAGATGGGTAAAAGGCATTCTAATTCAGTGGTGAAGTAAAGCTAAATTTTGGGGAAACTCTTGCACATATCAGGTTGCTTGCTGAGAATAAAAATGGGGATAATAGGGATAATAATATTGGTCTATTTGACAACAACGCTGCATATCTTGAGAAATTCCAACTTATCAAGGAATTACTGTTATTTTATATACAAATACTGCACTGTTCTTGTTAATGGGATCTTTACATTTAGTTCAAGGTTTGAAATTTCCACTGTGGTAAATAAATAAAAACTTTTACTGAGTGACTTGGTAACTGAATGCTCCAAGGCCTCTTTTACTGGTATTTTTTTAAGGACCAATTTGCAGCATATTTTTCTGTCAAATAAAGTGATATTCTCCAACAAAAATATTAATTTTCCCTTCACATTCTTTGAGGGAAATTAGACAACCAAAACTTAGAGTACATACATGTGCCTATACCATCCTAATCCTCCTTCCTTCCATCATCATTTGGGAAAAATCTTTCACATAAGATTCCTTCCTTCTTTCTTTCCTCCTTCCTGATATTTGGTCACTTCTTAATACACTTGCTGTGGTTGGCAAACCTTTCCAGCCATTGGATAATATATCTTAAACATCTCTGACTGTTATCATTCTTTTCAAGTGGCTGTCTTTATTAGACTAACACTCTTTGTCAGTCCCTTAAAATCTATCTACAACTTTACCTTGAGATGTAGATCGTAAGGTGGCATTTTGCTAGAAAGCAGAAGACCATTAGGCTAAACTGTGTGGCTCTTGGGAGAAATGCTTTCCATTCTAACCAAACCACTTCTTGGTTTGTGTTGCAACATCAACACAAATCTATAAACATGTGACAAGCCACTGATAGCAGCTATCTCTCTACATCTTACAAACACTTCTTAATAAGGATGATCTGACCAAAGTTATTGAAAATAATCTCCCTAGATTTCAGCAGGATGATATTACCTCTTCCCACTAAAATCAATGTAATTTAAAAATACTGAACATTAACTTCTTGTACCCACAGGTTTTATTCATTTGTTGCAGCAAAAAATGTCAGATTTTATTATTATTTTTTTTTAAAAAAACCTTCTAGCTCCTACTTCAAAAAAAACAAGAGCAGGAACAACTCACCTAAAATAGCTAAATCAAACACAACAGCAAAATCTATGCAGTTAAACAAAAAATCACATTTTCATAGCATCTCCTGTATATCCCATCTTGTAAACTAGTTGGGTTGAAGTGTGGGCCATGGTTTCATGATCTATTTTGTTGAATGTACTTAAATCTGGCTCTCAAGGCTGTCATTTCCCCATCAGCACAGTCATGCTTGACAAACCAGGCATATTTAAAAATGGGAGCATGAGCCCATCAATCTTTCATACATTGTTTAGTTTAAGAGTTCATGGATACTCTTGGCATATTTATGTGATGTTAGATGGCAAATTAATTCAAAAGCCTGTTCCCTTATTATGAAACCATGCTTGAGAATCACAGTTTTTAACTGCAAGTAAAGTAATATTCTATTATTGCCTAGTTCTGGAAAGGTAGTTGTCAAATGAAATCTTTTGCCAGGTTGAGGCAAAGCAGTTTCATATTGTTTCTATCTGTAGGAGACAACTACATGATGGTGTTCTAGTTGGCCATAGGAGTTCTTGCATGCATCCTATTCAATGCATACTTTGTGTGTTTTTGTGGAACTTAAGAACGGTGTAAAAGCTGAAGTGTTGGTTTCACTAAGAAATGCATGTTCAAACACAGCACAGCAGGATATGAAGTCTCTTGGAGGAAGTCTCTATTTCAGCCTGATCTATATACAAAGTTGTTGTGAGGCTAAAATTATTCTGAATTCCTTAGAAGGCATATAGTCAATGTTGCTTTCAGCAAAATTCAGGAAAGCTCATGTCCTGTAGTGTTACATAAACATGTTTTGTTTGGGAAAGATCATATATTCCAGATTTAATTGTGCAAATTGCACTTGACTGTGTAAATCTATGATAACATGTACCTGTTGCAATTAGTAAGCCACACATTTCTGAGAAACAAGGTGAAACCTGCACATGAAAGGGTAGTGAATTAATTACTATGAAGGCTTGATTAGATGCAGGAGAACAATGTTCATATATCGGTGCTGTTCACGCTATAACCTTGGGGCAAGGCGCTAATACTCAGTTGCATCATCTCTGCACTTAATGAGGGTTTCTGCCAGTGTGGTGGGTAAATTAAAACTTTAAACACTTTTTTAAAAATAGTACTAAACAGTAAAAAAAATCCCTTTTATAATAAAGTAGGATAACAAAACAGGCCAGTAATTAAATGCAGGCATAGAATGCAGAACATCTTAGGAGCAACCCCTGGCACCTCATGTTTAAATGAGTGATAGGAAAGGAGATAGGAAATATTGCCAAATACAGCAGAGAATGTGAGACTAAATAGAAAAGGAGTTTAACCGGCATAACTTTACAGCTTCTGATGAAAAGCATGTGCTGCTTGCTTGTTGCAATATTTATTCTTAGCATTCAAGCCTTTAAACACCGACCACAGAGCCCAAAATCAGATTATTCAGGGAGAGCTCCAGTAGTACTGGCACAAGAACAATCTAGACTTAGAAATCTTAATAAGATTGCATCTTAAAATTCTAATTCTTGCATCCTAAAGCTAGGTACCAGAGGCAAATTGGCAAGCAATATATTACACAAATAAGTCAACACACCATCATCAAACACAGTTTAGTATTCATATCAATGCATAAAAGATTGTGAGGTTTTTTTATTATTATATTAACTTTGGTGCTTCTCTTATACATAAATTGGTTTATTACTCTACTTTGATGTCTCCAAGCATCAGTAGAAAACTTTTCCCACCCTTCAGTCTCCTGCCTATTTTCTTTTGGTACAGTAGCACTTTTATTTTCTTTGCCCCTTTGGTGGGACTTAAATCAAGCGGAAAGTATGGTCTGGCAACATCATGTAAACATATTTGAAATCCAATTTGCAAGGAGCAATTTAAAAAAAGGAAAGGGAAAAAAAAAATTTTGTCTGAGAAATGCTTTCAAATTCTTTAGAAAAATCAATCCAAGAAACTGCAATGATCATTTGGCAGATACAAGAACTAAAAGACTTTAATGATAAAGAAACAAAAAAATGTAAAAGTTCAAAGACAAAGAAAGCCACACATGTTAAGTCAAACATTTGAAGAGAGGAAAAAGACAGGGGTGTTTAAAATATGGCAGAGGGGTAAGACAAGCTTTAAAAACAGTACATCATTGTAAAGGGAGAAAAACAGAACAAGATTAAGCAAAGGAAAAATTAGTTGGGAGGTGGATGCCCAAAAAAGAAGTAAAATCAGTTGCTTGATTCCAACACGGAAGGCAGAGCAAACAAACCAAAAAAAGCTAGTCTCTTTAAAAAAACAAAAAACAAAACCCAAAACCAAAACCAACACAACAAAAAAAAAATTAATATTTTCTGGGTCACTGAAAAAAGTAAATGGAGGAAAAGCGGTTGGAGAGAAGAAGGGAAAAAAAATACTCACCAAGCAAGAAAATGTTCAGAAGTAAAAATATCAAAGAAGAAGTGAGTGAAAGAAGACAGGGAAGGAGGAAAGAGGAAGAGGGCCAGCACCAAGACAGACAGTAACAGCCCCGCAGCAGCCCAAGCTACCGCTCTTTGCTCGGGTAGGCAGCAGCCGCCAACTCTACCAAGCTGCGAACACACTGACGGAGCTGAGATTCCTGGCGCTAAGATGCCTTTCAGCAGAACGCACCATTCCTAGGGCCGGGAGGGGGTCGAAGGACCGCAGACCTCTGCAGCTCCCGGGCTTTTTCGCGGTGGGAAACCCCGCAAAAGCAAACCCGGGAAGGACTCTTCAAAAAAAAAGATGGAGGGGGATTTGCTGGAAGACACGAGAGGGCGTTGTGGGTGGGCGTCAAAGGTCCTGACTCTGCAGAACGCCTCGTCTTCCCCCTCTGCCTAATTTTGAAAAAGTCCGTTCCTGAAGAGACTAGGCGGCGGGGAGGGAAACCGGGCGGGGAAAAGGAGGCAGAGATTTATTCGCTGAGCGCGGCTTGATGCGATTCCTCAGGCTTAGCAGTGGAGGAATCGCCCTTCCGACCTCTAGTCCTGCCAGTTTCTCCGCTGGCGTCTTTTTCTGTAACAGGAGCATTGGGGAAGCGTCGGACCTTGAAGCGGGCGGAGCTGGGCCGGGGGGGGGGCTGACGACCGTGGGGGACGAAAGGCTGCGATGCCCCCTGTGACGGAGGGTCTGGTCTTTCGGGGAACGGGGAGCGATGTCGAACTCCCCGACGGTGTAAAGAGCAGCGTTTTAAGTAGGACTGTGCAACACCCACCATTCCCCCCCCCCAGCAAAAACTACCCTATATTTTTCAACCAGTCCTAATTCAAAAAGAAGATAATTTGGGAGAAAGTCTCAGAAGTGGTATTCTGGCTCTGATCGTTTAAGTTGGCCGAGAAGGAAAGTGGATCCCGAAATGACAAAGGATGTGTGTTCCAGCACCACAGAATAAACTCCCACATTTTCTTCTGTAACTGGTGCTGCTGCTGGCATATAAACACTCACGGGAGGGATTTGCCCCAGACAGAACCAACTGCCTAGATATAACAGTAGAAACATCAAGAAGCTGGTCAAGGATGATAGACTGGGAGAGGTTAATATCAAGACAGGAATATTTCAAGAAGACTCAACTATCACTACGGTTTGTCATTGCACTGATTCCTCTGTCAACAGTACCGAACAAGTCAGCCCATGGCTATTGGAAACATCTGCCAGACTATCCCACCTTCCGTATATAAACAATTTGAAGCTATATGGAAAAACAGCATCTGAAACAGAATTGCTGCTCAACATTGCATATAAAGGTAAAGGTAAAGATTCCCCTCGCACATACATGCTAGTCATTCCTGACTCTAGGGGGCGGTGCTCATCTCCGTTTCAAAGCTGAAGAGCCAGCGCCGTCTGAAGATGTCTCCGTGGTCATGTGGCCGGCATGACTAAATGCCAAAGGCGCACAGAACACTGTTTCCTTCCCACCAAAGGTGGTCCCTATTTTTCTACTTGCATTTTTTATGTGCTTTCGAAGTGCTAGGTTATCAGAAGCTGGGACAAGTAACGGGAGCTCACCCCATTATGCGGCACTAGGGATTCGAACCACTGAACTGTCAATCTTTTGATCGACAAGCTCAGCATCTTAGCCACTGAGCCACCGCATCCCTTATGTCTGCATATAGATATAGATATATACTCAAGATAATGCAATGGAATTTGGACTGTATACATGGATCACCTTCACCATCAATAGGAGAAAAATAATGAAAATTGAAGGAATCAAGATGCCCTATGGAAATAACATCAAGAGTCTGGATGAAGATGTTCACTACAAAACCTTGGGCATCCTTCAAACTGATAATATCAAAGCACACTGAAGTCAAGACGAAGGCTAGAAGGGAATACCGTCATGGAAGTGAAGAATACCTTAAAGTCCAAACTCTGGAGGAAATACCATCAAGGCAGTTAACATTTGGGCAATTCCAGTCTGCATAGACTGACTACAAACAACTGCACGATAAAGTAGTATAGGAAATAACAACAAATAGTGCTTTGGAATAGAAGAGAAGAGAAAGAACTTGAGAAAGTCAGTAACAGAAGTGGAATGAGTGTGGCAAAAGAAAGCAAAGGTAGTACCAATAGTAATAGGTAACTTGGGTGCAGTCCCAAAGTAGCTGGAGCACCACTTGAACACCATCAAGATTAATAACTCACCTCCAGTCAATTGCAAAAGGCAGCTTTATCCAGAACAGCTTACATTCTGTAATGATTCCTTTAACATCACCAAACATTTCTCTGTCCCAGGTTCTTGGGAAGGACTGGATAGGTGGGTAAACATGCCAAATTCAGGCTAAACATCTTGCTTTGCAACCAGTCATAACAATTCAGTCCCCTCTCTCCAATCCTCTGCAATTTGCCTGGTTTCCTGCACTTCCATTAACTCTTAAGGAAAGACATTGTGAGGAAAAACTTCCCATGGAGCTTTTTTGGACCTGGAAGTACAGGCACCCAAGAGACTTAGAGGGATGGAAGAGGCATAACAGAAAACTGCAGCAAAAGTGTTTTCTGCTACCTTAAGTTGAAAAAAAAAAAAACCTCTCAAACATTCTATGGATATAGTAAAATAAAATAAATAAATAAATAAATCGCTGTAGCAGAAGAAAACAAGAAATTTCAAGATAGATTTTTGGCACAAATTACTATTAACTTTCTTTGAAGAAAATCAATAGATTCAGATTTAGAAGAAGATAGAGCTCTCTAAGATCAGAAACAGACATATTTACAGTGTTGGGCTGGGCTGAATATTTGGTATTTATGGCACTGTAGACATGGATTTCCAAGAAGGGTTTCCAAAAGTCATTTATACTTAAGATGGAAGTAAAATTCAGGTTTCAGGACTGCTTACTTACTAGACCAGACTTCCTCTTCCAGGTGTGGAGTATCTGTGAGTATCTGTGTGTTTTGGAATACATACTTCTAATACCAAATATTGTTAATTTCAGTGAGAAGAATGGAATGGAATGGAATAGAATCTAGAAATCTGCAGTTTTCTTACTTTGCTGGAAAAGCAGGCAAAATGTAGTAAATTTCCCCACTAATTAGAATCTGTTTAAAGTTGTGCAGTTTGCTATATAGCAATAGCACTTAGATTTATATACTGCTTCACAGTGCTTTATAGAGTCATCATACTGCCCCCAACAATCTGGGTCCCCATTTTACTGACCTTGGAAGGATGGAAGGCTGAGTCAATCTTGAGACGGTGGGAATTGAACTCTGGCAGTCAACAGAATTAGCCTGCAATACTGCATACTAGGCACTGCGCCATCATGGCTCTTGTCATTGTATAATATGAGTGTACCATATTTATTGGCATTGTTATAGAAGACTGGAATTTGGTTTCCCCAACTTGGTGCCTGGTACCAGATATATTTTGGTATCATTTTTATCATATCATTGCCTATAGTTACCATGCACAATGAGAGTTAAAATCCATCATATTTTGAGGAACAAGTTGAGAAAGGCTGGTTTATAAATTGTAAAATCTCCAGCTTGTCTATAATTCTAGATTTACATACAGTACATGACAATAAACACTAGTGAAATCAGGAGGTTTTACTTCAGAATAGGACTATCTAAAGTGGTGTAATTCTGTGTCAGATGGGAAAGTTGGATGGCATTTTGATTACTTGTTATTTTTAGTTAAGCTCCCTTAACACGGAAGACTGAAAAGTAAATCAAAACAAACATTTTAAAACTTTTTTTTCATTCTAAAAATATTTGGAGCTTCAGTCCTTCTTTTCTTTATCTTTGGTGACACAACAAAGAGGTACTATGTTGATGAAATCCCCTTTTCCTTTCTTTTTAATGAATTTTTTATTTTCTTCAGGTGCAGAATGAATAACAATAAACCAAACCTTGTCAAAGAAGAGAAATTCATTCCCAAATGTTACTTAGCAGCAAATTTGCAGCACAACAATAAGTTCTACCATATACTGCATATACTGCATTCATATTCCAATAAAGAGATTTTTTTTGTTTTTCAAGTTCCAATACATATTACAATTATTTGTTCTTCACAAACAGTGAAGTCACTCTGGGGAGTGAATAAATAAGGATTGTTTTGCACATATGGCTTTTATAATAACATAGGAAAGAAAAATGTCTTGGGGTGCTGTGAAAAAGATAAGGGTGAACTTGGCTTCCAGCATCACAGATTGCCTTACAGAACTGTAATAAAGCATTGATTGCCATTTCAGAATATTGAATTGGAATCTCCCAGAAGGCACACAAGTGGTTTTTGTTAGCTATGGGTATTATTTTAATGCTTAACCAATGAGTTTGCACCCAATGATATATTTGTGCTCCACATTTAGGTAACTATTGGCAAACAAATTAATAAAGGTACACTGTCCAACCTTACATTTTCTTCTTGTTAAACATGCATTAAACATTTATATGGCACAATAATAAAATAGACTATAGCTTAGGGGAGGAAAAACCTGCTATTGTGTGAATGTTGTCCTAGTATAATATGTGATGGATAAAGTAAACAAATGAGAAAAATTTCCAGGCAGTTTGGCTTGCTTGGAATTATATTACAGATTATATATCAAACATATTGTATTAATATCCTGAAATTATTGTCTATGAAATGAGTCAAACTTGTGTACTTTCATGAAACTTTAAACATGTTTGAAAATGTAACTATGGAAGCAACCATGCAAGTAATTTCTAATTATTCTAATTATTTGAACATCAAATGTGAATGGCTCCCAATTCCAGTATAATGTGATAATCTCAAGATTCCACAACTTTTATAACCAACCATTAGGCTTAGTTTTACTGAAATTAAGTCTCCTCATAAAGATCTTCTGATGCGATAGGGTGGAAGCTACAGCTCTCTAAAGAAAACTCTCAGCACCTTCTCCAAATGATGCATCCTTTCATTTCTTGGGTTAAGCTGTGCCAGTTGAATGGCTATGAGATCTTTCTTTTTTTTCTTTTACTACTTGAATTTTCATTTGAAGTCATCAATATCATTGAAAGTCATTCCATTTTCATTCAGAATCATATTTGGTTCTATTGATATTAGTGCCCCACCTAAAATAAAATATCCAATGACAGTTGCAAGTGTGTTAGGTTTCTCCATCAATAAATAACAAAATACATAACAAATGAAGTCAGGTGACCAGCAATGGCTGGAATCAACAAGACAGTTCTCAATGTTGCTGGCTGATAAAGCTATACCCCTCCACTCCATTTCCTGAATCAGTCTCCCAGGCTGGTTTTGTGTTGCCCTCCGAAAGAGCTGGAATCAACAGCACTGTGTCAGGGGAATATCAGAATTGCAAAATAGTGCTAGACTGCTCAGATGACACTCTGTGCTTTATGGGGTTTGTTTGTTTTGCTATAGGGCAAGATTAAAATTGTATAATAGTTTAATGATAAAACTAGTCTCTGATTCTCAAACAGAGCACAAAGGATTCTTGAACTTTTCATTTGTTATCCATATTAAGTAAAAGAAGGGCCGAATATTATT